GGCAAGTGCAGCGACGCTGGCAGATCTCAAAGCTGCCCAGAGAGTGTGAACATTGCTTCCAAGATCCAGCTGAGAGGAGTTGTCGAGGGTGACCTTCTCGATGGCCTTCAGATCGCTAGCCAGCTCATCTAATCGCGCCAATCTGCCGCCGCGCTCCTCCTCGACCCTCTTTTTGAGATCCCTCAACCACCTTCGCTGCATCTCGATGCCCTGCGCTACTACCTCCTCCTTCAGCCGCTCATTGATGATTGCGCTCTGCGTATCCAGCTCTTTTCTCAGTTGAGCTTCGAACTCGCTTCTCTGCTTCTTGCGCTCGTCCACTTGTCGCTTTTGCCAAGCAGAGTCGACCTCTCCGACCTTGCGCGTAGCTTCATCCCTAGCCCTGGCCAAGTCCTTGTCAAATCTGACGGCCGCGTCTGCCAAGCTCCTTTCAACTCGAGCAGCTTCGGTGCGCTTGATGGTCTCCAGCCTGTCTGCCAAGCCCTTGAGTTCCTTCTGTGCGCCATCGAGCACACCCTTGGCAGTGGTGCTGGCAGCAGCGGGTGTGTCCTTCAAGAACGCAGCCAGCTCGTCAATGGTAGCAGCCAATTGACCAACCATGGGCTCCGAGCCAGACAAACTAGCCAACGAAGGGGCCAGCTTGGGAAGTTTGGGAGCTCCTGGATCTTCTCTGAGTCTGCTCGAGGTGGCATCATGTGTCGGCGCCTGCAAGCTTCGATCCGTTCGAGTGGCCTTGTAGCCCGCAGGAGCTTCGTGAGAGAGAGGAATGGGACCTCGCAAAGGCTGACTGTCGTCCACCAGCTTGTCGCTGGCCTCTTTGGCTTTGATGAGCAGACCTCGGCCCTCCTTTTGAACCTTCGATGTTGCCTTTTCTGTCTCTTTCTCTGCTTGACCAGCCAATTCCTTGCCTCTGCCTACGAGCTCATCAGCTTTGGACTTGAGGGAATCCACGAGTCCACCGGCCGACTCCTTCGTGCTCTCAGCACCAGCCTTAGCGTCTTGAGACGCTGACTTTACCTTTCTCTCAATCTTGTACGCCGCCTCTTTCGCCTTTGTTCGAGCCTCGTCGGCCTGTTCCTTTGCCTGTCTGGCAGACTCTTGGGCTTTTTGCTTTGCTCCTTGCAAAGCCGACCCATCACCGCTTCCCGCAATGCCGCCGCCGCTCAAGTCCTCAATCTTGTCCCTAGCAGCACTGTAGGCCCGTGCTGAAGCTCCCGCAATATTCTGGCCGGCTCGGACTACACCATCAATGGTGCTTGATTTGACACTGTCCGCATACCCTTGACTCTCCAGCAGGTCTAACAGAGTAGATGCTAAAGGGACCTTCTCGATGTACCAATCTTGAGCGCGGTCATTGTTGATGGCAGCGATGGTGGAGCCGGTGTAGAAGAGCGTGAGACCCAAGGTAGAGTACCAGATAAGCCTTGGTAGCACTCGCTTCTTCTTCAGTTGCGGATCAGGTGCGCCAGGTGCTGTGGATGCCAACTGAGGTGAAAGCAAGGGTCAGAATTGTTCGAGAAGGGATCGCAGAGCTCTTCGCTGGCTGACCATCTACTCACTCGGTTCACGATGCCTGCCGACTGTACAGGGCGTCTCAGCAAGACGGTGGAGCTGCTGTTAGGCCTAAGCGGCCGGCTGGCGACGAGGCGCGAAGCCATATTCGAGGGTTGAATCCACCGCAAAGGACGAGAGCGGAAGGGCCGAGGGCGAGGGCGAGTGTGGAAGCGCCAGGAAAGTCGACGATGTTCGCGTCGCTGCCAACAGCGGGCTCTCGAGGGCGCGCGTGTCTGTGCGTGAAGGATGAAGCCAATGAGGTGGGGGACAGGCCAAGGAACTCGCGGATTCGTGGTTGGTAAAGGCTTGGCTTGTCGGTGCGCGACTTGACCAAGATCACGAATCAACAAACCTTCGAACCTTCGCGCGCGCGCGCGC